AATTAATGTTTTTTGACATGCACTTTAGACAAAGCCACATATGCAACTTTAACAAATTTGTTTTCTAGGTGTGCACAGAAATTTTTAAAAATATATTTTATTGATTTTTTACAGACAGGAAGGGAGAGGGATAGAGAGTTAGAAACATCGATCAGCTGCCTCCCGCACATCTCCTACTGGGGATGTGCCCGCAACTAAGGCACATGCCCTTGACCGGAATCGAACTTGGTACCCTTCAGTCCGCAGGCCGATGCTCTATCCATTGAGCCAAACCAGTTAGGGCTAAAAAATTTTTAAAAGTACACAACTAACATATGTGTTGGTTCTAAACCTAGTGTTATTAGAACTTCTGGGATTTCCTCATCTATTTAACATTCAAGAATAGATTTCTCGCCCAGTTGGTGTGGCTCAGTGGTTGACCATCAACCTATGAACCAGGGGTTACAGTTTGATTCCTGGTCAGGGTACATGCCTGGGTAGCAGGCTCAATTCCCAGAAGGGGGCATGCAGAAGGCAGGTGATCGATGATTCTCTCTCATCATTGATGTTTCTATCTCTCTTTTTCCCTCTCCCTCTTTGAAATCAATATATATATTGCAGGTGAAGCTAATAGAGAAATGCCTATCTGGTCCAATTTTTGAACAGATATGTCTTTAGACTGTGTGCAGACTATTTATATTTTGACTTTCTTATTTAGATTTATTTAGGATTTCGGATAAAAATTCAATTGGAAAATGTCATAAAAAACATATAATATCTTGCAACTATATCAGGGTGACATCTCCAAAGTAAAAGCAGTTGGTGTTACACACAGAGCATATTCCACAATTTATTTGAAATGGCAGACAGATCCCAAAGCCTCAGAAGGTTCTTTCAGGGACAACAGATTATTTTTGTTCCAGAAAAAAAAAAGTACATTTATTAGAGAATTTCCTATTTCTATAATAATAAAAATATGAAATACTAAGAAACTGTATTAGTAAAGTGATTGAAGGCATGGGCTCTGTGGCCAAATAGTCTGGCATCAAATCCTGCCAGGTCTGCCAGCTGGGCAACCTTGCACCTCCTTTACCTTATTTTCCTTGGTTCTATGTTTGGAATCATGATAATACCTCCCTCATGGGGTTTTAGGAAAGGCTGTTTAACCTTTTAGTATCTTAGTTTCCTCCTCTTTAAAATAGTGATAAAACCTCTAGTAATGTTTGATTGCTGTTAAGAGTAAATTTTTATATATGCACCAGAGGCCCAGTACACGGATTTGTGCACTGGTGGGAGGGGAGGGCCCTCAGCCCGACCTGCTCCCTCTCCCAGTCCAGGACCCCTCAGGGGTAGTCTGCCTGCTGGATCAGGCCTGAGCTGGCAGTCAGACATCCCTCTCACAGTCCGGGGCTCTCACAGTCCGGGACCCCTCACTCATTACCCACTGCAGGCGGGAGAGGCTGCTGCTCCCATTGCTGCACTCACCAGCCATGAGCCCGGCTTCTTGCTGACAAGAGCTTCCCCCTATGGGAGCGCACTGACCACTAGGGGGCAGCTCCTGCATTAAGCGTCTGACCCCTGGTAGTCAGTGCGCATCATAGCGACTGGTCGTTCCACTGTTCAGTTGATTTGCATATTGGCCTTTTATTATATAGGATTACTTTACAATAATTGTCTGATCACAGATGAACTAACCTTAGGGAGAAGGCAGGGGAGGAGGGGTTAGAGATCAACCAAAGGACTTGTATGTATGCATATTAGCATGACCAATGGACACAGACACTGGGGCAGTGGGGGCTTGCCCTCAGAGGTGGGAGTGCCTGGGGAGGGGGGGTGTTAATCAGGGAAAAAGGAGACATGTAATACTTTAAACAATAAAAGTACTTGGATTTTTTTTTTGTTTTTTAAAAAAAAGATTAACTTTTTTAAGTTTATCTTTCCTACAACCAACATTTTTTGAGCCTGACATTAAATTAAGACATAGTTTCCAGCTGGGCTCCACATTTTGCTTGGAATAAAGTACCATATAGCCTACTACCTAATCTGCCATTTTTTTTTTAACAGTAGCCCAGCCTACATTTAGAGCACCATTAGGATTTTTAATAAAGTTAAATAAATCTCAAAGTTTTACTATAAAAGGTCATTAAAACGCATATATTGTTGTTTTTTAAGGCACCTCGGAAGAAACCAAATATTGAGCCAAAGCAGATATTAGGTCAATGCTGACCTGTTGGCCTTCTCTGAGAATGGAAGAAAATATATTTAAAAAACCAGCAGGATTTTGGTTAGCAGCATCTCTCAGTCAGAACTAATTCCTAATATGCTTTTCAATTACTCTAATTGCTTTTATTTCCCTATAATAATGAAATAATTTTGAACTAAAGTAAATTGTCCTCAAATCTTACATTCCCCTTAAAAGCTTATTTTTTATATGTGCTTTTTAGAACACAGGGTGATTGGTGTTCTTGAATCAATGTTGTACAAAGTGGTTAATATTGCTCAGAGATACATTGGATTCAAAGTCAACACCAAAAAGTCATTCCTGATTTTCATGAAAGTGCTTCAGTCCCTCCCTTTTACCATTGACTTTCAAATTCAGGACCCTGTTTACTTTCCCCAAATTAGTAATACAATGCCTTTTCCCTGGATTTTTCTACTCTGCAAAATGTGTCAGCACATTTGATATCAGGTGTTTTTTATTTTCCTCCCTTAGATGTTAGTGGTGCTTCAGTTTGCTTAGGTTTAGGTTAAGCAGCTCATAAGAATTTTTCCTTTACCCTTAATCCAGCCTAAGTATTTGGCATACCACACACCAGTCTTTCGTCCAATCTGCTGGGTTCTTACTCTTCTTAGAGGGTAGATTAGTGCTCTCCAGGATTTACCATAAATTTTATCAAATCTACTGTGTCTATTAAATCTACTCAATTGAGGAGCAATGATTGATTGCAAGATTATTGACACCTCACATTATTTTAGAACATTGATTATATATCCATGAACATAGGTGCAAAAATCCTAAACCAAATAAATATAAGCAAAACAAATCTAGCAATGTAAAAAATAATACCACTGTGACCAGGTGGCTTTATTTCAAGATTGGTTTAAACATATATGAATACAGTTCACCCACATTACTAGAGCATAGAAGAAAGCCTGAATTTTCAGCTCAACAGGTGCAGAACAAGCATTTAATAGAATTCAGCATACATTCCTAAGGGAGACTATTAGCAAACTAGAGAGAAAATCAACTTCTTTAACCTGATGAATAGACTCTAACAAAAACTACCATAGACCACAAATGCAATAGGGAAACATTTAAAATCAAGTATGAGACAAGAATGCCCATCAGTACTTTCATTTAGTACTGTATTGGGAGACCTATAAAATGTTAAAAAGAAAAGTTGAAAGGGGTCTTGAGCTCTTAAACTGTCTATATTTCCAAAAGGTAAAGCTTTAAGAAAGACTAAGGAAGGAGAAACAGAGACAGCCGCAGAAAATCACATGAACAGAACATACATGAATCACAGGGAACAAAAGAGCTGAAGGGTTAATCTAAAACACTATCACAACTCTTTTTGAGTAAAAAGGGAACTTAGAACACCTAATTTTATCTTTACTAATTTTAATGTAAAACACATAGAAAAAAAAAGTTGGGCATATTTCCTTGGCATATTTGGGGTGGTTAAAAAGAAAGAAAAAGCTCCAAATAGTTTTGAGATAGATGGCATAATTATTAACATTGTTAATAAAACATTAATTCAGGGTTGGAAATGAAATTATTTCTTTTTACAGGTACCATCTGGACTCAGCAGATATTAAGCTTGATTTATTTTGAGGGACATCGTAACAGAACTGAAGACTTGTCAACGCTTGATAGAATCCCCTTCTTTGAATACAATTTACGCAAAATAGACTTTCTCAACAGACCGTCTCCTCGCCTCTTCTGTTCCCACCTCCCATATTATTTAGTACCGAAAGGTCTCAAGAGCAAAAAAGCTAAAGTAAGTCATATAAATAGCGTATGGACCTTTGGCACAAACAAAAATACTTTCTTCAAATATTTTTTTTTCAGCCCCACTCATCCACAGTCTTTCAAACATGATAATTATAATCTTTGATACTGTTTTACACATTAAATATATACAAAATTATAAGTATATACATAAATTGAGTCATCCCACACATTGCTTGTAGTGTGATTATA